ATGGGGAGTTAGCAGCAGGGCAGTGGTGGTTTCTTTGGTGGGGGGGAGACCCATGGTTTCCCCATCCCCCTCCCCTGTTTCACTGTTGCCCTGCTCCTCCAGCACCATGGCCGGGGGGGGGTTTGAGGAGTTCTCGGTGCCCCCGGGCTCGGAGCTGGCGCTGCCCCCGCTCTTCGGAGGGAACATCCTGGAGAGCGAGCTGGAGACGGAGGTGGAGTTCGTGGATGGGGGGCTGAGCGGGGACAACCTGCAAGAGGAGGAGGAGGAGGAGAGCCAGCAGCGCCCCCGCTCTTCGGAGGGAACATCCTGGAGAGCGAGCTGGAGACGGAGGTGGAGTTCGTGGATGGGGGGCTGAGCGGGGACAACCTGCAAGAGGAGGAGGAGGAGGAGAGCCAGCAGGACACCGAGCTGGGGCATCCCCTTCCCCTGGTCTTTGAGAACCTGGTCTAACTGTTCCCCAGACTTAGCTCGGAAACACGTCTGTGGTGGTCTCAGCTCACTGCACGTAACGCTGCCGGGTGTTGGCCATGATCGCGCTGATCCGCATGCTGAGTCTTCAAATGGCCTCTCACCGGGCTTTGAGCCAAGATTGTTACAGTCACGTGGAGGGCAGTGGCACTCCGACCTCAGGAGCCTCATTAGAGCTCACGCTAACCAAAAAACTGCTGAGCCCATGGAGCAGCGAGCCACCTTCAGCCATAGCCTGCCTCTCATACTCCAGCCTCTCCCTTCCCCAGCCCTCTGCCCCCTCCTGCACCCATACCCCCTCTTAGATCTGGCACCGCAATCTCCTGCCCCACACAATCCCCTCCTAGCCTAGGTCACATCTCAAAATCCTGCATCCCAGTCCCCTGCCCTACGTTATAACTGCTTCCTTCACCCCAACTGCATCCCAGACTCCAGTCTCCCTCCTGAACCCCAGTCCCTTATCCCAAGCTCCCTTCTGCACCCTAGACCCCTCACCTCCTCCATTAATATCCAGGAAGAGTGTGACCCTCGACCACTTTCCAAAATCTTGGCGTTGCCCTCCCATCAGAAATGATTCTTCACCCCTGGTGGAGGGGGTGAACCGCATCTCACCCCCCCCTGAAGTCCCCCAAGACTCACCTCACTCGTGGGGCAACCCCTGATGAGGTGCTGCGGTTGGGGCAGGTGAGGTGCTGGGGGGAGGGTTCTGGCCTGGGGTGAGTCAGTGGCCTAATGCGTCTGTGTCCCTGGTTCCAGGTCAACGAGAGGGTGTTGAACAGGCTCCACCACGTGCAGAAGATCACGCGACGGCTCAAGCAGGAGAGGAAGTAAGAGCCTGGTGCACCATGCTCAGTGACTCCGTCGGGGCCTGTCCCAGCGGGGCCCTGATCCCAGCGGGGCCCTGATCCCAGCCTGTGTCTCTGTCTCCCTTACAGATTCCTTATGAGGGTCCTGGATTCCTATGGCGATGACTATAGACAGAGCCAGCTCACCTTTGTCCTAGAGGTAGGCACTCCTCTCCCCACGAGGGGTTCCTCCTGAAGCAGAGGAGACCCTGTTTTGGAGCTGCCAGAAGCTGGCCTGTTAGTTACCCCGCTCTGGAGAGCCCAGCGCAGGACCCCCTCAACAGCTCTGTCCCCCTCCCCAGGACGAAGGCAGCCCCAGCACAGAAGCCCCCACCCCTGGCAACATTGAGAATGAGCCTCCAGAGAAGGAGACCTCCCGGCGTTTCCCTGGTCCCCCTCCAGCTGGCCCAGAGCCCAAGAGCCCCTCACAGGTGGAGACCCCCGTCGGGAAGAAGCGGCGGCGGCCC